GTATATCCAACTACATAAGCAAATGTTAATGGACATGAAAAATCAAACATGCACGAATACAATATAGTGGAGGATCTCAATACCCCATTGTCATAGACAGAACAACTAGACAAAAAATGAACAATGAAATACTAGAACTCAACCAAACTCTTTAACAAATGGACTTAGTAGAGTCTACAGTGTTCTACCTCACAAAATCAGAATACACATTCTTCTCAGCTACACATGGGTTGTTCTCTAAAATAGACCACATACTAGCTCATAAAACAAGTTAAGTAAATGCAAAGGAACTGGAGTTATCCTCTGTATATTATCAGATTACAGTGCGATTAAATTGGAGATCAAAAGCAAAAAAACTATAGGAACTTCATAAACATACAGAAATTGAGTAACACCCTCCTGAACAACCAATGGGTCACAAAGAAAATTAAAGAAGAAATTAGACAGTTTATACAATTAAATGTCAATGCCAATACAACACATCAGGATTTATGGGACACAATGAAAGCAATCCTAAGAGGGAAATTCATAGCAGTGAATGTCCACATTAGGAAAACAGAATGAGTTCAAATAAATGACCTAATGCTGAATCTCAAGCTTCTAGAAAAAGAAGAGCAAGACAAACCCAAAGCTTGTACAAGGGAGGAAATTATAAAGGTCAGAGCAAAAATAAATGCAATGGAGACTAAGAGAACCATATAAAAAAATCAATGAAGCAAAGAGCTAGTTCTTCAAAAGAATAAACAAAATTGACAAACCCTTAGCCAACTTTATCAAAAAAAAAAAGGAAGGCCCAAATCCATGCAACTAGGAATGAAAAGGGTGAAATTACAACCAACCCAGCAGAAATCCAGAGGACCATCAATACCAACTTTGAGAACCTATACTCCAATAAGATAGAAAACACAAATAAACAGATTTCTAGATACATATGAATTACCAAAGTTGAATGAAGAACATAAAAAAATTCTAAACAACCCAATATCAATCAATGAAATTGAAAACTTACCAACAAAGAAAAGCCCAGGTCCTGATGCCTTCACTGCTGAATTCTACAAGACATTTAGAGAAGAGCTATTGCCACTACTGTTTAAACTCTTCAATGAAATTGAAAGAGAAGCAATACTCCCAAATTTATTCCTAGAAGCAATATCACCTTGATCCCCAAAGCAGAGAATGATCCAACCGAAATAGAGAACTACAGGCCAATCTCACTAATGAACATAGACGCAAAAATCCTCACTAAGATACTGGAAAACAGAATGCAGAAGATCATCAAGAAGATTATACACTATGACCAAGTAGGATTCACCCCGGGAATGCAGGGATGGTTCAACATACGCAAATCAATAAAAGTAATTCACTATATCAACAGAGGCAAGGACAAAAACCATATGATCATCTCAATAGATGCACAAAAAGCATTTGATAAAATCCAACACATATTCATGATAAAAACCCTAGAAAATTGGAATAGATGGTCTTTATCTCAATCTGATAAAACCCATCTATGATAAACCAACAGCCAACATCATACTGAATGGTCAAAAACTGAAATATTTCATGCTAAAATCAGGAAAAAGAAAAGGATGCCCACCGTCACCACTCCTATTCAGTATAGTTCTAGAAACATTAGCCACAGCAATTAGACAAGAGAAAGAAATAAAAAGAATAAAGATAGAAAACGAAGAAGTTGTCATTATTTGCAGATGATATGATACCTATAGAAGACCCCAAGAACTCCACCAAAAGTCTTCTAGACTTAATAATCAAATTCAGTAGAGTAGCTGGATACAAGGTCAACACTCAAAAATCAATAGCCTTCCTATACACAAACAACAGATTCATTGAGAGAGGAACTGGAGAAACAATTCCTTTTACAATAGCATCTAAAAAAAAAAAGAAATACCTAAGAATCAATCTAATGAAAGAAGTAAAAGACCTCTACCCTGAAAACTACAGCACTCTGAAAAAAGAGATCAAAGGGTATACCAGAAAATGGAAAGACATCCCTTGTTCTCTAGTAGGAAGAACCAAAATAGTGAAAATGGCCATGTTTCCAAAACTGCTATAAAGATTAAATGCAATCCTGATTGAAATTCCAACAACATATTTCACAGAACTAGAGAAAACAATCCAAAAATTCATTTGGAACCAGAAGAGACCTAGACTAGCAAAAGCAATTCTAGGCAACAAAGACAAGGCAAGGATATCACAATCCCCAATTTGAAACTACTACTATAAAGCTGTGACAAAAATAGCATTATGGTACTGGTAAAGAAACAGAACCAAGGATCAATGGAACAGATTAGAAGATGCAGAAACAACTCCAGACATACTCAGCCACCTCATCTTCGACATAGGAGCCAACCAACCTCACTTGAGGCAAGACAGCCTCTTTAATAAATGGTGCTGGAAAAACTGGGTTTTAACTTCCCAAAGATTAAAATTAGACCCATATCTCTCATCATGGACTAAACTAAAATTGAAATGGATTAAAGATCTAAACATTAAAACAGAAAAATTGAACCCGCTAGAAGAAAGGTTAAGATAGAATTCTTAAAGACATTGGCATAGGAAAAGACTTTATTCATACGTGAACTAGCACAAAGAAGCAACAGCTGGGATCTCATCTTATTAAAAAGCTTCTGCAAAGCAAGAGAAACTACCCACATAGTGAAGAGACAACCCACAATGTGGGAAAAAAATTTTTACCAGCTGATCCTCAAAGATCTACTATCTAGAATATATAAAGAACTTAATAAAATCAGATCCCCCAAATTTAAAGACCCTCACCATGTAGCCCAAGTTGGCCTCAAACTCATGGTGATCCTCCTGCCTCAGCCTCTGGAGTGCTGGGATTACAGGTGTGTGCCACCATGCCTGGCTACTGTCTAACATTTTGTTTCTACCTTGTTTTAATCCTCCCTACTCCAAGTCTATATTTACCTAAAATCTGCCAAATTTTTTAGCCAATTTCACTGCTCACAACTGCCTTTTGAATATCTTTCTTTTCTTCTGGGTTCCATTTCATTCTTACTGAAGAGGATGCTTTAAAGTAAGTACTTCTGTCATCATAACAAAGGGAAGTATAAATCTCTTAATATACTACCTTGCATGAACAGTAAGATGGTTTAAACAGATCTATCTCACAATTCATTATTATATTTTTAGTTTGCTAGAAAATCAGAAACTAGCCCTGAACAGGATATGGGATTCCACCCCCAGCCCCGTCCCTGCCCTTGTACTTGGGACTGAACTCAGGGCCTTGATAGCTCCTGACTTGACTGTGCTTCTTGGCTGCCCTTGACATGAGCAGCTTTCATCTATGTGCCTGCCCCATGCCACTTCTGCCCTGGAACCAGCCGACTTTGGACTGAATCCTCTAAAAACCATGTGACCACTGGCAGGTGTTATCCCCAAGGACATCAGCAGGTAAAAAGGGTGAATAATCAGTGAATGACACTCACTCAAAGGTGAATTTTAGCAATAAAAGCCTATCAGTTTTAATTCTGAATCTAACACCCTAAGTTCCTTAGTCTTTGTTAAATTGACATAAAATACTTTTTTTTTTTACTTTATTTTCAATGTATGAATATCAAACATATGCAAAGTGCTAACACATACAGCTCAATAAATGTCCATTAGGCTCTACTTTTTGGATAAACTTGGGAGTTCTTTACATAAGTGTTTCTCAATCTGGTTACCACTGAAATTTGAAATGCTTAATTCCTTATTGCGGGATATTATGGGCTGATTTGTGCCCTCCTCAAAATAATACAAGTTGGGAGTTCCAGCTCCCAAGATGTCACCATATGGGTATATTTAGGGACAAGGTCTTTGAAGAGGTAAATCAAGTAAAATGAAGTCACACAGCAGGTGCCAACAATAAGACTGTTCCTTGTCAGAAGAAATAAGGGGACAGATACATGTGCAGAGGGAAGACCATGCTTGGACACGGAGAGATGGCAGCTGTTTGTAAGCCGGGTTAAGAGGCCTTGGAAGACATCTACTAATCTGAAGATTTCCAGCCTCTGGCACTGTAAACTGTGAGCACCTGGCAGTTAGGCCTGGTCTGTGAAACACTGTGATGTGTTCCCAGCAAACTCATACAGAGGGGCAGACTGTGCGTTCAAACACTTGGCAGCACGCCTGGCCTCCTCTACCACTCTTTGCACCCCATCTCTAGTTATGATACCCAAAAAATCTCTATACATTGCTCAAATGTCCCCTAAGGTATGAACCCCTTCTGCCTATTCCACTGAGTGCCTTTGGTTACCTGTATATTTCCCAGTGCTCAGCACAGCAAATGATACATAACTAAGTAGATTATCAAATATTTACTGAATGAATTCATATGCCTGGTTCCCCATCCTGGGTCTTACTAAGCCCTTGAAAACTCCTTTTGCTGAAATAAAATAGTAATTACTCCCAGGTTAATTTACGGAGGACTATGTAATGCTTAATGAAACAAGCAGTTTTCACTGTGCCATGGATGTTGATAGCTCAGTGTTATTAATGTCACACCAACCTTAAGCTTTCTGTTTGATGTTGCTCACTTACCTCACTGCAGATCCGCTGAGACTCTCGAGTATGCTGCTGTCAGCCTCCTTAGCTACCACTTGACTTGCAGCAGCTAGAATGACTAGGACAAATTCTCCTCTCACCCTGTGAAACTCATGGCACTCATGAAGACAGTGCATTTCAGTGCCAAGATACTAAACTGTTACCATAATGATACTCCACAATCAGAAACTCCAAAGCACACCCAAAGGCTGATGTCAACAGAGACATTCTTTGAAAAGGCGAAAGCACAAATCCTGTCCCAAAGCATTTTCACGAATTTGATGTTTTAACTTTGCTGTATTTGCTGTCATGTTATTTGAAAGCTGATGTATTTGGGTCGTGGGTGGCGGAGAGGTGGCAGAGGCATGGGCTGGCTCTGAAATGCCAAAGCACTGGAAACAGGGTGACATTTTGCACACAGACAACACTACCCGACCAGTGTGTTAACAGTTTATATGGCCTGTACTCCATTATTCACAGGGTACCATTTTGAGGACATTATTTCAATTTGACCTAGAGTAAGTCTGTTCATTTACAAATCCATTTATTGCATATTTTAATAGCTGTGATTCATAGTGTTAGAGATTTCATTGGCTCAAGTTAAAAAATGCTAGTAGTCATTTTTAAGTATCATTTCAGGAGAAAATGTCTACTGTTTAAAAGTCATTGTGACTTTGTGACTTTAAATATTTTTGACTTTTAAAAAATGATAGTACTAACACAACTTTTAAAAGACTATAACTTTGTACCTTTAAAAAATGATAATACTAATTTTGTAACTTTAAAAAAAATTATAACACTAACTTTGTGACTTTAAATTGGAATCCTATTTCCAGTGACGTGAAACACAAGTCTAACAAACAACTCCCCCTAACCCAGGTGACACCGTCATAGAACTGCTGTGATAGGCACAGAGCAGCTTAGCCCCAGGCACTCACACGCTCTGAGGACATAAGTGATGCAGAACACAGATATCCCTAACTCAACCACTCCTTATAGTGGAGAGGTGGAAAAGAATCCTCTTCTAAAGCTGGTTTCTCCATGGAAGAAAAGGAGAATGGCTTATAGATATCCTGAAATTAAAAACCAAACAAATCTCTTTGCAAAATAGTTTGCCCACTCAGTAAAGCTGGTGAACCAAGTGGATGTTAATGTGTTAAGAGGCAGGAGGCAACTGACCAAGTGACAATGTTTTATCACCTTTTCCTTTTCCGAAAAGATAGAAAAGAATGAAAATTAGTTAACCATAACATTTAGAATTTTGCATCTTTCGTTGGTCATTTATAAATATGAAATCTACATTCAGCAATGAAAACTACCATATTCTGATCGTGGCATTAAAAGAGGTGGCAAAAGGCCCCTAATTCCTATTACGTTTATTTCTTGGTTCAATCTCAGCACTTTCAGCTGCTCTCATGCGGCGATTCTGTCTTGGGCTTGTATCTATGTCTTGAAGATCATTTCTAAAAACAGAAAAAAATGATATCTTAGAAAGCAATGATCATTATTTCATAGTTATGTCTAGCTTACAAATACTTTCACATCCATTACTTCACTGAAACCCCCAAACTACCTCCCACTGACATATCTGTGCTTATTATTATCCCCACTTTGTAACTAAGAAAACAGTGAATTCTCAAGGATCATGGAAAGTGAGAATCAATAATGAAACCTTTTTTTGAATCAAAATCTAGTAGTTTTATGCTTGTGTTAAATATCTTAATATGTAAAAACCTGGGAAAAAAGCTTCTTTTATCCCAACAAGAAAAAGCCAGATAGTCTAATTATAACTCTTACTGATATAAGGTAATGTAGAAAAGAGTACTTAAGAACCCTCCAGAGCAGAGGAATGGAGAGAGAGGGGCTGCTGTATAACCAGGTATGAAATCAGCTGAAATTCTTGTGAAGTTTTTCTTTTTCTTTTGCTCTGGAGGTGGAACACAGGGTATCAGGTGCTTGACCAATGAGCACTGCTCCCTTCCCGGACACTTCTGAGAAGCAAAAGCTTTTGATCACTAAGGGAAGAGCCAAACTTGAACTTGCTGCCCAGGGTAAAGGCAAAGATGCACTGCCTTGGGGCGGCAGAGGTACACGGTCTGTCTAAGGTGGAAGGACAGGAGACCCTTTGCAGGGGCGCAGACAAAGGGTCACTGCTGAGGGGAAGCGGTGGAAACTAAGACTTCCACCTCTGGGGGAGGAGCAAAAAAGAGTTGCTGGGGTGTGGGGAAAGGGAGAGTTCACCTGGCAGAGTATAGATGGTTTTTAGGGCTGAAACTGTTCCATGTGACAATAAAGTAGGGGCTGTATGCTCTTTACAATTTCCTAAAAGACATACAATAAGCAGCACAAAAAGTGAACCCAAAGGTAAACTGTTACAATGACCAAAACCAAAGTTAGAGGCCTCACACTACCTGACTTCAGGACTTCCTATAAAACTGCAGGAACAAGAGTGTGTGTCATTCACGAAGACAGATAGATCAACACAGCACAACAGGGACTCACACGCACACATTCCTCTGATTTTCAATATAAGCACCAAAGTTATTAAATGGAGATAGGACAGTCCCTTCAATACACAGTGTGCAACAGCCAGAGCTCCCTCTCAAAAAAAGAAAAATTAAACCAAAATTCATACTCTTAACGTTTAAAAAACTTACTTAAAATATGTTATAGACTTTAATGTAAAATAAAAGCTCCAGCACATAAGAGAAAAATCTTTATAATACTGGGTTAGGCTAGGATTTCCTAGGCAGGACCCCCTCCCCGCCCCTAAAACACAAAATCCTCACATAATATTTTAAAAACTGACAAATTTCATTAAACTTTTTTTTTTATTAAATTCTTTTACTGGTACATTGTAGGTATACAACACAATTGCATTTCTCATTGGGAATTGTACCTTTATATAATGCATCTTGGTTCTTATTTTTTCCCCATTCCTAGCCCTCCCTT